GAAAAAACCCACAAAAAACCTAACAAAGCATAAAGCATTACTCCCCTCTACACTCAGTGTTGTTGCTTTTTGCTAAATATATTATTAGTCTTCATTGCTTCCAAAGTGATTTACTGTGGATAGAGGTCATTAATTTAATCTGTTACTTCCTAACCTTGTACTTACATTAAGATTCTTTGAAGCCAAGAATATTTTTAAAAGGGTAGTGTAAGGTAGATTACCACTTGTCCTATGAGATGTTATATTTCAATTTTTATCATTTTTAGCCAAAATGAAATTTCACTTCCATTAAAAAATATTTTCATTTTGTAAATACAAAACTGAAGTACTTTGGGTTGAAATCTACTAGTTAATGTAATCGTGACACCTTGCTGATTGGGTTTCTGCCTTTATTCTGTAGTTTATAGAACATAATATGTAATCTTTTCCTGGCTGCTTGAATTCCTGTCCTCCCTTTCAACTAACTAGAATTACTTTAGACTACAGAATATACAAGCAATACCACTACCTCACCAGCTCTCTTTCCTTTTTGCAATTTGTCCCATGAAATCTGACTCATTTTTTCCCAAACTGATGTGATCGCATGTCACTGAGATGAGGAATTTGGCAGAGTGAGAACTGGAAGCCTCTGTTTGTGCTTGAACAAGTTCTTTTTCTTTGAGTGAGAAAATTCAGCTGCCAAGCTAATGTCACCAGAATGACAATCTAAAATAAGGTCAGCCAGGTCCCATTCAATGAGCTTAAAAGCATACAATTTCCATCTACAAGTTAGTGAAAAAACATATTGGTCTATAAACCCAATTCATGAATTAGATATGTCCCCATTCTGACCTAACTGGGATAAACAGGCTGGTTTGATTTGTCTTAATATTGCACATTTAACAGCCTCATCCATGAGCAGAAAAGCCTGAAAACTGAAACTGAAGGCGGGAATGAATACTTTGCAGGGAACTGGCACTTTGAAACTGAAGACTGATACTGAGAAACAATGAATCACATCTAACTCTATGGCACTGTTATAGCTGTCAGTGCTAGGTGTGAGTTTTCATTCATTGACTAAACACACTCAAGCCAGGGACTGGATTGTTTCTTGCAAATCTATTGGACAGAAAAGTAGCAGTACATTTTGCCACATGATGCCACTCCTATAATTAGAGACTTGCATTGAAAAAAAATGAAATCTTATAATCCAGTCCAGATGGTGGTCTACATGGGCACTGGGTGGCATTCCTAGAAACCAGATGAAACCTAACCAACTGGGTGGGATGGCAATCCTAACCTGAATTCTCTCCAGTGATTGAGGTCTGGGCATATTTGAACTCTGAACTAAGTACCCAGCATTGGGAAAAGATGTTCATGCCTCTTCAGAATTTACTTTGTAAAATTATTTGGGAGCTGGAGACACTATTTTAGACAATTTGTTTAATTTTTTTTCCTAACCACATGATGAAGCTTACTGCTGGCTTAGAGAGAACTAACATATCTTTAAGTTCATCAAACATCAGTTTGAGATTTTTTGGGGCCCTGGGCAAAGCATTTTCAAAGAGTGGGGCTGGTCCCTATCTCCTCTTTGCCACTCTTGCAATGCCCCATCAGCTAGAAACAGGGCATTTTGCTACTTGAAGTTTAAATAATAATACTAAAATTATTTCATTCTCACATTAGATGCTGGAAGATTTCAAAGGTTTTCTCCCATCTGGATGAACTTATGACAAGTTCATGATGGTTTGGATGATTAATTTACATTTTGGGTCAATGTAAGTTTTTTTGAAAGTTTTTTTTAGTGCAGTTTTTGTATATGTGCAAGAATAGCAAAATACAACATTTTAAACAAAACAAAAAATACAATAAAAAAACTTTACAAATGATGAGATGGCACCTTCTTTCCATTCCATAAACAGAAAATGGCAGTCAAATCTTCCTTCAACACTGACAATTTGATAGTATCCTTTATAACACTTAAGGGTTGCAGGCTAGCTTAGGAAGCATAGAAAATACTGAGTTGTATACACAACTCTGTCCTTCAACAAGAGGAGAAATCCAAAGATTCATCATGGAACCACTGGGGAGACTGCCAACACTTCTTTCCAGCCAGGGGTATAGCCAAAGGTGGGACAAAATGAGTGCATTGCCTGTGGAAATAAGAATTCTACCTCCTCGATGAAATTCTCCTTCAAGTATTGCAATATTGCAAAATCACAATAATTGTGAACTTCAATTTTGTCATCCAAAGCAAAGGGGCAAGCAAAGTTACCAAGGAGTGTAAAGACAGTCAATGTAAGAGTTCTATGAATAATTTTCAATGTCTCTCCTTCTGCATTGCTAGAAATTTGGAGACAGAAGAAATTTTCATGGGAGACAGGCAAGATTCTTATTAGGAGGGCAATACATTCATTATCCCCCAGTATTTGTCAACTGAGGTGATCATCTCATTTCTGCCTAATGGCTGGGCCTGCCTGTCCCATCTTGGAGGCCAGCCAGGTGCCAAGTACTAAGCAAAGTCTACTAGAGACAAGACAGTAGCAGACCCAGTCATGTACAGAAGCTTACCAGCCAGTTATACCTCAGAGGTCAGGCAGTCCAAGTCAGCAAGAAAGTCAAGGTGTCCGTTCATGGGAGGTCAGACAGCATGATGCAAAGTCAAAGGCTCTTCAAAAATAGGAGCCAAGAATAAAAAGACAAGAGTATTGCTTCCTCTTGAATGGTCAATCATTGACAATGACCTCCAGAGGGATTTGTCGGATAATTTGTGGCCTGGCAGCCTCTCACAGATGTTGCCTGATTAATGAGCATTTCCTATATAAATGCTCTGAGTCCCTCAAACCCTCTCTCTCTCTCATCTACATTCCATTATGGTAAGTATTACTGAGTGCCCATCTCTGAATTGTAGCTGCTGGGGAGTTTCACTGTCTCAAGCACTGGCATGTCCCTCCATCCTTCTGTTTCCCTGTGTATATCATAATCTGCACATGTCCCCCTGTCCTTCTGCCTCACTGCTTGTATCAGAACCTAAGCTTGGGACATGACACAACCCTACTGTTAGCTTGTGATTCCTCACTGGGTTCCACCTCCTCCATTGCACATAAAGTAAAAAAGAAGGATAAAAGAACTGATGCTGCTATTCTAGTGCCTTTCTTCAGTCACCCTTTACACACATGGGAAGTGCAAATGAACGCCAGTGATTCCAGAAGGCGGACAACTGTGATGGAAGATATGAATTTAGTATAGGAATGATGTCCAATGTTTTCAAGCCCTGATGCTGGTTCATTGTTGTTGTTGTGCCATCAAGTCATTTCCAACTTATGGCAACCCTAAGGCAAATCTATCACAGGCTTTTCTTGTCAAGATTTGCTCAAAGGAGGTTTGCTATTGCCTTCCCCGAGGCTGAAAACATGTGGCTTGCCCAATTTCACCCAGTGGGTTTCATGACTGAGTGGTGAATTGAACCCTGGCCACCAGAGTTTTAGTCCAGCATTCAAAGCACTACACCACACTGGCTCCCTTCATAGAACTCTTGCACAAGGATGAAGTGCCCACAACAATTTCTGAGGCATTAAATGCACACCAGAAGGGGATATGAGTGTTTCAGATCAAATTTAATAATGATGACTCACATGTAAATATTCATGCCAAATAAACAAAATGCCTTGGGGGCATATCTTCTCTTATTCACAAACCCACACTGAATGATTCAGTTGAACTGCAAATGGATTTTGTGGACAAGGGCTGCGATTGGAGAACAATAAATACCGACTGAAAAATAAATTGTATAGCAACTCCTTGTCAGCAGTCAAGCAGAAAATAGTAGGCTGGTAAAGAATAGAAATAGTAAATGGTAGGCATCTGTGGGTTTGGAACCAGAGAGATCCCCTGATAGGCCTGGGCAAGGCACTCCATTCCAAACCCCAAGTCTGACTATATAATTATGTTTAGATTTGGCTTTTTACAGCCTTTAGTATTTTTCTTGGCTTCAGGACTGTTTGGGAGTTAGGACTTTGTGGAGCTGTCTATTTACTGATGATGTTCAGAGCTTGCAAAACCATTTTGTGGACTCTGCTGCTGACAGGAGAGCCCTTGTGAGAGGAAAGTTCTTGGGAAAAGAGTGATGCAATTTCAGAATTGCTGCAATAAAACTGCTTCACACCACAATCAATGAATATAAACTCAATAAGATAATCAGAATGAAAACAAGCATCAACGCCCTGGCTTCTGCTTGACAGTCTCCCTCACTGCACGGTGTGATATGGAAACTGTCATGTGGTGTATTTCAAGCCATAGGCAACAAATTAAAAGGGATGCTGAGATTAAATAAGGTCTCAGTTTTATTTCTGGTTCTCAAAGACAGTCAGGGAAACAAAATACAGTGCTTGGGAAAAATTCCCTTTAGGGTGGTAAGATCTAGAATCCCATATCCAGCCCTCTGGCTGGGCAATTGGGGAAATTGCCATCCAAAAAGGTAACTTTCCCAAACTCTGGAGAGATTTGCTATTTCTGCTCTGAAGTGGCATTGCAGGTGCATTGGTGGATTTTCAAGAAAACTCATTTTTATCTTTTATTTCCTTTTGTCCTCACACAGCCAAGAAGGAGCGGATTTTGCCTGCACTGAAATTCACAACACCATCTTAACTGACAACATCTCAGACAGAATGTAGGTTTGTGACTTTTTTCTCCTGAATGATTTTTAACGGCTGTGCCTGATGAAAAAGCCAGTAAGACTTTGCAAGCTTGCATGATGCATTTTCTGCATTTTGGTTGGCCAGTAAAGGTATCACTCTTTTGTGGATTTTGAATTTTGTTGAATTTATCTAGTTCTTATTTCCAGATGAACATGTGGATGTTTTCCCTTTAGATCAGGGGTAGGCAACCTTTTTGAGCCAGGGGCTGGGTTGCTGTCCCTCAGACAATTGGGGGGCTGAAGCACCATAAATAAATAAATAAATAAATAAATATTAAAATTAAAAAATTAAAAAAAATAAAAATTAAAAAAAATATGCATGCACACTCTCTCAGCCCCAGAAAAGCCATGGCAAAACCCCAGTGGAGATTTTGCCAAGAAAACCCCAAGAACAAGTAATAACAACAATAATCAATATCATCATGGCGGGCGGCGGGGGCGGCGGCAGTGGCAGGACCGGCCTGGGGCGGTCCAAAGGCCTCAGGGGGCTGCATCCGGCCCCCCGGGCCTTAGGTTGCCTACCCCTGCTTTAGATGGTGCATAGCTCTGAATTTGACAAGGCAGATTTTGGTTCAAAATGCCTATAGAAGTGTGCATTTTAAGAAAAATAATTTTAAAATTCACATTTTAGGAGAGGGGCATATGCATTACTTTTGTACCTTATATTTCCTCCAAGTGATCTCAAGGTAACATCCATTGTTATCCTCTTCCCCACTTCTTCCTCACAGCAGCCATGTGAGGTAGGTCAGGATAAGACAGTGTGACCTGCCCAAGATCATCCAGTGAGTTTTAGGGTTTTATTCATTCAGTGGGAAACTCAGAACCTCAGTAGGACACCCAAGTCCTAGTCCAATACTCTTACACCTACAACATGCTGGCTTATAAACATATGCATTTAAAAAATTGTATAGAAAGACTATTTTAGGTGAAATACACACCAAATGCACATTTTAGGTTAAAAAATAAAATCAGTTTAAGTGAGTGTGGGTTTGCATTTTTATTTTTAAATTGTAGGCTGCTGTGGAAGTAGGATGGAACCAACTTATGAGTCAACACATATGGCACAGACAATGTGATTCAACACATAACACACAAATCCATGCATCCCTAGCTACTTCTCTTTTCCTTGTTGAGCTCTTATTCATTCAGTCAGGGTGCCTTATAAAACAAAATGTCTGCAGTCACTTTCTGACTGCATTCTTTATGCCATGTAAATATTCTCTTTCCTATTACTTTCAAGATATGAGGTTGAATGCATACAACTTGACCTATTGCCCTACCCCCTTTTCTTCCTGGTGGGTCACCATCATAAGGTAAGGTTCATCTTAGGGATGGAAAACTTAGGAAGGATTTCAGACTGCCAGAAATAGTGCAAATGGAGTCCATTTTTAGGGTTAGGGTTAGCCTTGGGTCCAGGCTATCTTAAGGACCGCCTCCTCCCGTATAATCCTCCCCGCACTCTCCGGTCCTCTGGGAGGAAATTGTTACAGCCTCACAAAACGAGGCTGGTGACTGCCTCCCACAGGGCCTTTTCTGCTGTTGCCCCCAAACTATGGAATGACCTGCCGGGGGAGATCCGTCAACTGACATCACTTGACAGCTTTAAAAAAACTGTCAAGACGGATCTCTTCCAGCAGGCCTTCTAGAATAACTACCGTCTTAGGCCCCAGAATACTCTGGAGATGTTCTCCCTCCCTCTTATGACC